CTTAAAAGTTCTGGCAACTCCAGAAAAACCAAGGGGCTGGAAAGCAGTGAGTCAGCGGCAAGGGAGCAGGAGAGAGTCAGAGGCCTCCCACGGCCCCTCCTGTTACAGCCTGGTTAGCACTTGTCCCAGAGCTCTTGTTCGTTGACTTAGAGAAGGCTCACCTCAGCTTAAAAGGCCGGGGCATGCCTGCTCAGGACAGGGCCTGACAGCTGCCCCAGGGAGAGGATCCCAGTTTTGGGGAAGAACAAGTCTAGGGTGAGGCACTGGAGGTCAGAGCAAGCAGAAGAGCTGATACGGCCAGGAGGTCTCAAAGGCACACCTCCCGAGCAAGGGTCTACCCAAGGCTGGTGATCAGGGAGGGAGGGGACACACTAAGATTTTGTTGGGGAAAATGTACTTGTGCAGCCAGATGACAGCGAGACCTGTAGGAAGTCTGGGGAAGCGCAGGTGAGGACAACTGTGGGCTGAATCAGGGCCCTGGCAAGTGGGGAGGGCCAGGCTGCGGAGGACACTGGAGCTGGGAAGCCAGGGGTGGGGGGGGAAGGGGGTCGATTCCTCTGTGTCCTGGTGGAGGGCCCACGTTGAGGGGCAGAAAGGCAGGCCAAGCTTGACTTCAGGCTGCAGACAGAAGAGGAGGGACAGAGGAGGAATGGGCAGAGAGGTAAGAGGGAGACCAGGGAGGCTGAGGCAGCTGGGGCAGAGGGTGGAGGTAGAAGGGAAGGATCGGGGGGCACCCAGCACAGCCCATCAGTCCCCTGGTGACTGCAGGAAGCTGGGCCTCCTGAGATTAGGGAGAGGCAGGGAGGCCTGAGAAGATGTGGGTCCGGGGAAGGAAAGTGGACAGGAAGGCACACACGGACACACACATGAACATGAAAACACAAGATACAGATATGCGCACGGGCACACGCAGACATAAAAAGCTGCCATTCCACAGACAAAAGCAGACATATAGAAACCAGTACCACAAGTGCTCAGACGTGCACATACAGTCACAGATTCACGCTCCAGCCACGCCTACGTGGGGCACACGCAGAAATGGAGCCAGGCACGCAGCTGATGTTCATATGTAATTGGATGTACGTTTGGCCATAGACAGAGGCACAGGTACACACTCGAATACACTGACATGGACACAAGTGTGGACAGACACACTTTCTGGCAAAAACAGGCTTATCTGTAGAGATGCACACAGAGGTCTGCACTGACCGCAAGTACAGCCCTGTACATGCACACCCACACAGAAGACACCCATGCAGCACACACATCTACACGGCATCATGACCAACCATTCTACACAAAAGAAGCTCTGTGCACCCCTATTCGAGGCACCCGTGGCTCTAGAACCCCGGCACCAGAGCCCGCCTGGGAAAGTGAGACACAAACCGCGGCCATTGCGCAACACACCTACTGGGCCCAGCTCAAGGTCAGGGAGGAGCCAGGACCAGTCCTCTCGTGCCTGCCCACGCACTCACTGCCATCGGCGGCAGACACCAGCCACCGACAACGGCCAGCCACCGACGTAGACAGCTGGGATTGCAAGGGATCTTGCAAAATCATCCCCATCCCTCAGGGTTCAGCTAAAGTGTCCCTTCCCCCACGGAACCTCCAGGCTGTGGCCACTGTTAGCCTTTTTGAATTCTGGTTTTTGCCGTGCCCAGCTCTGTGACCTTGGGCAAGTCACTCCACCTCTCGGTGCTTTGTTTCCCCCTACGTAGAGCAGAAGGTAATGAGAACGTGTGTTGAGTACATGAGCACATCCCTTCCCACCTCTTGCACAGATGGGAGAAGCAGCTTCCCAGTACTCACAGTCAGCTGGCTGTAGAGGGGGCTGCCCTCCTGCCTCCTGCTTGGTTCCTTCCCACCAGATGGGATCTTGGGGCCAGGTGGAACATCGAGAGGGTGTGGGTGTATTCTCCTTTCTACACAAAACCAAGAAGCCAGCTTTGGAGCAACTTGGCAATAAGCACGGGACCATACAGCCCTGCCTGGCAGGGGTAGGGACGACTTTAAACCCTGAGTTTCTGCTCAAATAACTTCAAAGAGGACTTACAAGATCATTTCCTCTGCATGGGCATGCAAAATCAGAAAGGGTGGAAATGAGCCACTGACTCTCCCCGCCTGAGGTTTCCTCATCTCCTGTCCCCACCCACCCAAGAGCCCCCCACCTAGGTTCACATCCTCCCAGCAGATGTCAGACACTGGGCTGGCAGTCAGAGGGCTAAGAGCACCTTCCTACTCCCCAGGGGACTGTGGGTACAGTTTCCCCAGACACAGGCTACCATCTTTATGAGGATGAGCACTCAGGCTCCGCAGTCTGGGGCCTTGACCCTTGAACTCAGGAATGGTTGTGCTGATGTGGACAGGTGGACTAGGGCTCCCAGGGTTGGAAGGACAAAGATGTGGACTGTGTGCCAGTGAGCACACCCCAACCTCAGTTCTGAATGACCCAAGCTGTGCTCAACTCCAGGCCTGGGTTGACCATACTGACTTCCTTTGTTCTAGAACTCTTCAGGGGCCTGGGTGGGACCAAGAGGTGATTCTGGGAGCCCCCCACCTCATCTTGGGACAGCTTAAGGCCTGTCTATCTAATGGTACCCAGAGCATCAGCCACATGTGAGGTCCAGAGCCATGTTCCCTCTCAGTTGAGTGTGCCCCAGTCACCTCCCAAGCCCTGTGCCCTGACCCCAGGTGGGTCCTGGTCTTCCTGGCAATCTCAGAGCAGATCTCCCCATTTATAACCTGCTGAAGGCCAAGCTGACTCAGTGAGCCCCAAGGACTCTAATGCCCTGGGAGCTAAGCCCCTCCACACAGACTCACACATATGTGGCAAAGAGACACACGTGAGCTCTAGACCTGGGTCCAAGTCAGACTAGCCCACTGGGGCATGCCGGTGGCCCCCCTACCTGTGGGCAGCATGCCAAGAACTAACCAATGCCAGGTTAAGACCTGGTCTGAGGGACTGGGCAAACCCTGATGCCACCTGGAAAGCCGGGATGACAGAAACATCCAAATCAGCCCATGACTCACAGGGACTCATAAGCAGACAGATGGACAGAGTCCCCAGAGCTGAACATGGGGCCCAGGAGCTCTCTACCTGCAGGTCAGGAGCCCTAAGGATTCTGGTGTTAAAGCCCCCACTCAGCCCAAGACATCCCTTGAACCAGGGCCCAGGGTGGGCCCTCCAGAGAGAAGCCAGAACTCCCCAATTTTCCCCCAAGTCAAACTACAAAGCAATGCCACCTTCCCAGGGCCAAGAAGAATAGGGATCCTGAAGGAGCTGCCTCCTAGATCTTGATACACATGAGGAAACAGAGGCTGAGGGGAAGGAGATGGTCTAGGGTCCCCGACCGCTCACTCACCAGGTTGGGCTGTGCTCTCTGCTCCTTGATCTGTAGCCCCTGGGTCCCAGGGGTAGGGTGGGCACACTGCCAGAGGCCTGGCCCCCGTTCTGGCTTTTCTGGGGAGCCACTGCAACCTCTGAATACGCCGAAGTCACACCCTTCTTCCTTTCCTGAATGTGGGCGGGTCTGGGCTGAGGGTACCTGATAACCTCCCCAGCACATCTGTAGGGCCCCATCTGGCCACAGTGGAATCCCAGTCTTGTGGAGCAGGGAGGCAGCCCCTCTGTGACAGGAAACCCAGGCCCACATGTGCTGAGACTCTAGCCCAGGAAGGCAGCCTTTGAAGGCACATTGGGTTCCAGGTGGCCTCCAGGCCCCAGTCCTCTCCTTCTGGCCAGGGGAAGCCCAGTGTGTGGACTCCCAGGTCCCCACTCTGGCTGGCCCCCCTCCTACCACTACTCCAGGAGAGCCCTGGTGACAAGAACTAACTGATTTTTTGGTCAACAGGGACTCCTGTGTGGGACCTCCAGGACTCAGGCATGGTCTAAAAGCAAGCAGGCAGCAGTCTAGAAGAAAGGTGCTTTTGGGCCCACCTTGGGGTGGCAGGGAAGGCTGGAGGACTTCCAGGTGGGATGGTCTGGGAATCTCTAACCATGTTCAGAACCTTCTGAACTATTGCAAAACAGCAAGAAAGGAAGAAAGAGCGGGGCGCCTGGGTGGCTCAGTTGGTTAAGCGTCCGACTTCAGCTCAGGTCATGATCTCACACTCTGTGAGTTCGAGCCCCATGTCGGACTCTGTGCTGACAGCTCAGAGCCTGGAGCCTGCTTCAGACTCTGTGTCTCCCCCTCTCTCTGCCCCTCCCCTGCTCATGCTCTGTCTCAAAAATAAATAAAAACATTAAGGAAGGAAGGAAGGAAGGAAGGAAGGAAGGAAGGAAGGAAGGAAGGAAGGAAGGAAGAGGCTGGGCTTCAGAGGCAGGTAGCCTTGGATGGGAATCAGGTGACCTTGGCTAAGTCACATCACCTCTCAAGGCTTCGGTTCTCCCCGAGGCGAGAACTGAGTCAGGTGAGCCCAGCCAGAGCCAGCTACACAGGGATGACCAGGACCTCAGGCAGAGGGGCTGGAAGGAGCAGCAGAGTAGCCATGGCTGAGCTCAAACAACCCCCATGGACCACAGCCCAACCCTTTGTAACTATAAGCCTTTATTAATAAGTCAATAAAAAAGGGAGAAAGATGTAAAAATACTTTTCTTGGAGGCCCCGGGAGGGGCAGGCACTGTCAGAACTCACCTGGCCAGGGAAGGTGACCCAGCCAGAAGCAGAATGGAGACCAGGGCCCTGTCCAAGGGAGCAGCTGGCTCAGGGCACTGAGAGGGGGGATGTCTTGGGCCTCAGGCAGGGAATGTGCAAACACTGAGGCCGAGCAGGGAGTGAAGGGTGAGGGCTTCCTGGAGGAAGCCCGGAGCACCGTGTTCCCCTGCGTGGGCAGACACACGTGTCCACGTGAGAGCCGGTGCCTGCACGCAGCTTACATACAGAGAGCAGAAGGAGGGGTCCCCCAGCAGGAATGGGGGTGGGGAGGACTCATCCCAGAGCTTGAGGAAATAGCTTAGAGAAGTCTCTGGAAGCCTGGGGTGAGGGGACAGCATGGAGGCCTCAGGAGCCCTGGCCGTCCTGCCGTCGTTGGAGGACCTCAATGGCGCTGCCGATGCCATCCTCAGGCACCTGCGGGCAGGTGGACGGAGAGAGGGGTCAGGGCCATGCTGACTTCCTGGCCCAGATGGACTACATCCTGTACCCTCACCACTCTCTTGGGCCTCAGTGTCTTTCCAGGAGCCCAACCCATGGTGCTTACCAGGGCATGGTCAAAGTTGAAGGTGCTGATGTAGTAGGCAGAGATGTCGGCTGCAGCCAGGGGGCCTGCGATCTGAGCCACGATTCCACACTCATCTGAGGGTTATGGGGGGGGGGGGGG